CTGCATTTCTCGTCTCCTGTGGGTTTCAACAGACAAGAGGTCTGTTTCTCATTTTTCCCTTGACCCCATAAAGCCACTGGACGCCTGAGGGTGGAGGCTGGGCAACTTCTAGTCACAGCGTCCATGCCATCACTCAGCCCTTTCACGGGGGCCAGGGGGCCACCTGCGGTGGAACCCCCTGGGGCGTTTGAGGAAAGTGCAGATTCTTGGGTCCCCCCGCCGATCCTACAGGTCAGAACCTCTGGGATGGGGCCCAGGCACCGCAAGTTTTCAGGCGACTTCTTTGCCCACTAAAATTGGGGACCCAGCACCTGAGATCACTCAGGGCAGGGACTGCAAGGCCCATTTTACAGTCAAGGGCAATGAGGCCCAGAGAGTTTTTCACTCGCTGTCCTGAGACTGGAAGCTGGCAGCCTCGCTTAACGGACGGGGCATCTGGCTTGGGGATCAGGCAGCTCTGGGTTCAAATTCCTGCTCCTCTCCTTCCAAGGCTGGAGCCAGACCTGGGTTTAGAGCAGGGCGGCAGGTCCAGCCCACAGACTTTGTGCAGCTTGCTAGCTAAGATTGCTTTTTACGGGGCCGGCCCCGTGGCCGAGTGGCTTTTTTTTTTTTTTATTCTTCTCCCCAAAGCCCCCCAGTACATAGTTGTAGATTCTGGTTGTGAGTGCCTCTGGTTGTGCTATGTGGGACGCTGCCTCATCGTGGCCTGATGAGCAGTGCCATGTCCGCGCCCAGGATTCGAACCGGCAAAACCCTGGGCCACTGAAGCGGAGCACATGAACTTAACCACTCAGCTACCACAGGGACTAGAGCAGCCATTCTCAAATGGTGGCTGCATCAGAACCACCTGGAGGGCCAGTGATTGCTGGGCCCCACCCCAGAGTTTCTGCTTCAGCCAGTCTGGGGCGGGGCCTGAGAACCTGTATTTCTGACAAGCTCCCAGGTGGTGCCGATGCTGGAGCCACACCCTGAGGACCCTGGTTTAGAGGGACTTGGGTCTTCAGAGCTGGCCCGCAGCCCCACCTGGAAGCCCATAGCCCACCCAGGAGGTGGGACGGGCTTGAGGAGAAGAGAGAGGAGAGGGAGGGGCTCCCATGGTTGGGTCCCATCTCATCCGCCCGCCCACCAGCCCCTCTTCCAGGCCGTTCTTCTCCTGGTGTCTGCTCCCCCCTGGTGGCAGCAAGCCTGGAGCTGGCCTGGCATGTTCAACCTTAATAGCCCATCTCTCCATCTGGAAACACATTTCAAAGTTTGCATGTCCTTTCCCCTGGAGAATTCACTTCTAGGAATTTAATCCAAGAAAAGCATCGAGGATGCGTACCAGGACGCATTATTTGTAAGAGTAAAACAGGAGACCGGGGCGGTCATTTGACACAGCTGGTAAGGAGCCTGGGCAGGATTTGAAGTTGGGTCTCTCCGACTCAAGAGCCAGTACCCCCGGCTGCCACACCACACAGCCCCCCAGGGGTCCCCCACCTGCCATAACAGAGCAGCAAGGAGAGCATCAACAACAGAGCTGGGCTGCCTCCCGCTGAATCCCTGTTCTATTACTTACTAGTTGTGTGATGTCGGACAGGTCACTAACTGCTCTGGGACTCTGTTCCCTTCTGGAAAATGGAACGTGAGTTCACTGAGGGCTCAGCACCATGCCCTGTGCGGGCCGTTATCATTATCACCCAGGAAGCCCCTACCTTCCTTCTTCTTTGCCGTTTCCCCTCCTTTCCTCTTCTTAACTGGCTCAGAGCACTGCGGGTCACCGGGAGGGGCAGGCGGGTCAGGATCCCCTGGGGTGGAGGCGGAGAAGCCCGGGCGGGGCACTGTGGCCAGGAGGCAGCAGACATTCAGTGGGGCCGCCCACACTGCTCCCACCACTGCCCCTGCCCACAGGCTGGGCCCCTGCAGTCTGGGTAATAGGGCGCAGAGCTTAACGCAGGATCCCTGGGCGAAGCAGGCCTGGGTCTAAACCCTAGATCTCCCGTGTGACGGGGGCAAGGAACACCCCCTCCCCAAGCCTCAGTATTCTCATCTGTGGAATGGGAGCAAGAGGATTAGAGCAGCCGTTCTTGGAGTGTGGTCCTCCAGGCGGCATCACGCGGGAGCCCTTCGGAAACTCGAATCTTGGCGAGCCCTCCTGGTGATGCTCATGAAGGCTGAGAACCACGGGACTCGGACATCTCCCCCACAGGCTTGTCGTGACTCATAAAGGAGAGAGCACACGCCGGGCGTTTAGATCCACGATCGCGAGCTGGGGTTATTGTTATAGCCCGCTCCTTCTTGGCCTCGGCTGACCGGGCCGGGAGGATCCTCGCTCCAGGTCCCCTCTTCTGGGAACTGGAATTAGAGATATTGGTCTCATGTCCCTTTCACGAGGGGAGGGGCTAACTTGGTGGCCAAGGCTGGTGCTGCTGGCATCCGTCCTCCTCCACCTGCCTTAACCATTGAGGCCAATCTGCAGAGAGAGGCTCAGAGTGGGAGGTGTCGGAGGGACACGCCCCTGGCCTGGGGGCGTCCCTGTCCACTGAACTGGGCTGTCCCACCTGCTCCTGGGTCCTGAAGGACACCTCTGGGCTCGCCTGATGAGTCCTTCCTTTTCTCCTAAGTTGGTTTGAGGAGGTTTCTGTCACTTGCAACTAAAAGGGCTCTGAGTCAGGGTCAAGGTGGGTGTACGAAGGTCAAGGGTCACGGCCCTGAGGGGAAGCACTTCCCTTCCTCCCCCTGCCCAGCCGCTAGCCCAGCCAGGAGATCTGGATTTCAACCCCGTCCCCATCCACACAAGGAAGGGCGAAGGGGAAAAGGAGACGTCTGGGCAGTTATGGGTAGGCGAGGTCTGGAGACCCATCTGAGGTCACTTCTGGGCTCTCCGTTGTTCTTGGTCCTGGTTCCTGTGATGACACCTCGTCCGTGTCCCCAGAGAGCTGTGGAGGTGACCCCTCCCCACCGGGTGGAAAAGAGCAATAAAGGTGAAGGGTTTAGATACACCTGTGTTTGTGCCAAGCAAGGGGTGCTTGAGTGTAACGGGCTGAACGTGCAGAGAAACCCCGGAAGCTGGGTGGGGAGGGCAGGAGAGGGGCACTGCTCAGTGTCCTGCCAGGCGTCTGGTGGGGCAAAGGCGGCAGGCTCAGCAAGTCAGGGTGGGGGGGCCTTGCAGCAAGGCGGGGTGTTCTGCATGTGCTCGACACGAGCAGCCAGATCTGCTCTGGTGTGCAATGTAGCTCTGTTTGGACAGACCCACCTGCAGAGGCTCGAGAACGTGGACTCCTGAGGTCCCATGGGTTCAGGTAAGAGGCTGGAGGACCATGGAGGGGGGCTGCAGAAGAGAATTCCAGCAGTTGAGGGGGGCGGCAAGGAGGTGGTATGTCTACACGTTTAGCAAGAGCTTTGAGACAAACAGAAGCAGGCTCCAGTCTGGGCTGTGCACCTGTCAGCTGTGTGGCCCTGGGCAAATCACTTGCTTTCTCTGAGCCTCAGATTCTTACTTGTAAAATGGGGATAATACTATGTACCTCCTAGGGTTTGCGGTGGGGATTGAGTGAGCTGACGTTCCTAAAGCACTGGGTGCACAGTAAATCACTGCGGTGTGGTTGTTATGATTCTAACTGCTATTACTACACTCACAGGGCAGGCAGGCAGTTTATACTAAAGGAGTCAAGCAGCAAAAAGAAGGCTGAGTCCTTGGAGAAAAGGCTCGACGCCCTGTCGGAAAGTCTGAAGGTGGGGCAGGTCAAAGGCCAGGCCTGAGACCCAGAAGATGAGTCAGAAGCTCGCCCAGTGAATGGGGTCCTGAGAAACACTGCAGCCAAACAGGAGGCCCGACTGGTGCCTTGACCCTGTGTGACCGGCCAGCGCGCCGCAAACCCCGCCCACCTCGGGCCAGGATTGGTCGACGGCCTCGGCGGAGAAGGGCTGGTAGGAGGGGCTGCAGAGGGCAGGTGCGGCGCGGGGACTCCGGGCGGGTCCTGAGCGTGTGGTCTTGGCCAATCAGGCAACGGGTCTTTATTGAGCGGCTGCTGTGCATCTGGGGCTCTGCGGGGTTCAGAGACGGGCAGGGTGAGGCGTGCACAGCCTAGCTGTGAGGTCAGAGGAGCGAGAGCTGGGAGGGCTGGAGTTGTGCGGCTTCAGCCGGAGGGCTGGCTTGAAGGAGGTTTGAAAGGACGGTTAGATAGGCGTAGGGAGCAGGGAGAAAGAACAGCGAGAGGCAAGAAAGCACGGGCTTGCCTAGAAGACAGAAAGGGCCCGGTTGGTCTGGGCGGAGATGTTCTTCATCCAGGAGAGGAGGGAGTGACACTGGGAGGCCGATCCGTAGAGAACCTTGATGGCCAGGCTTATGGGCTGGGACTATATCCCCTGGGCAGTGGGGAGCCACAGAAGGTTATTGAGCAGAGGAGTGACATTTATTCTAACTGGATGGCTGAGCTTGTGCCAGGCTGGGAAGACATTGGAAGGGGAGCATGTGGGGAGAATGAAAAGGGGAAGGGTCTTGGTTCCAAGGTCAACCAAGGCGGACCCCTGGGTCTCTGGGGTTGGGGTATGTGATGTTACAAGCAGAAAACCCCGTTAGGGGCTGGTGTAGACATGTTGTCTTGAAAGAGGTCTCAGGTCATCAGTGGGCAGACCTGCCCTTGAATCCCAGCTCTGCTGTGGGATCAAGGACAACCCCCTTGTCCCTTGATCGTCAGTTTTCTCCCCTTTAAAGTGGGTAGGATGCCACCCATCGCCAAAGATGAGTGTGGGGACTAGTGAGAGAATGAGGAAAGGGGCTGGCCCCGTGCTGGGAGCGTAGTGGGTGCTTGATAGATGGTGTTCCCTCCCCGTCTCCCACTGTGTGGCTGTCGCAGAGCTGGACGCAGAGTCTGATCTTCCAGGCACCTCCAATTAGAGAGAGTTTCTGTTTTCAGAAGTCATTCATTCATTCATTCATTCATTCATTGTTTAGTCATTCAACCAGCATTCAAACAGCATTTCTGAGCACCTACTGTGTTGACACAGAAGCTGGGACACGGTTGAATTAGACCACTGTCCCTTGGCCTTAAGGAGTTTATTTGCTCATTCATTCGGCAACATCTGTGGCGCCCTACTGGACGCTTTGCTGGGCGGGGGGTGGTGTTGGGGATAAAGTGAGCATTGCTGGCGGCAGAGGGAGTGGGGAGGGGACCAGTCAGCCCCATGGGTCACGCCTCTCTGTCCGGGAAGAGCAGGAACCCAGAGAAGATGCTGTTGGCCCCTTCCATGCCCAGCAGGGAGTTCCGGTCGGTGGCCTGCAGGAAGACGGTCTCCTCCAGCTCCAGCTTGAGGACTATGCCACCCGTGGTGACCTGGAAGGTGTTGTGGACGAAGTCGCAGAAGGTGACCACCTTCTGGATGCGCTCCCGGCCGCGCATGAGGTTCACGCACAGGTTCCCCCGCGAGCTGGCGTGGTAGGCAAAGTAGTAGAGGCCGGGCACCTTGCAGGTGAACTTGCCGCTGCGAGGCTGGTAGTTGTCATTCACGTTGGTGATCAGGTGGTCGAAGCGGATGACCTGGTCCTTCCGCAGGGGGATGTTGACGGTCCGCGTGGCTGAGAAGCCAATCTTTTGTGTGGTCTTGTAGTCTCCTGATTCTCCCTTGGGGCCACGGGCTCCTGGGGGCCCTGGGGCACCTTTGGGGCCAGCGGGGCCCTTGGGGCCCACTTTTCCTGGGTTCCCAGGAATCCCTGGCTCCCCCTTCTCTCCGAAGTTGCCACGGTGTGCAGCTAGCCCCGGCAGCCCTGGAAAAGCAGAGACAAGAGAAAGGAGGAGGTCAGAGGTCACTGACAGCCCAAGGAAGAAGCCCCAGGCTGGGGGACGGGGGGCCTGGCTGTGTGACCTTGGGCAGGTCCCTGTTCCTCTATGGGCCTCAGCTTCCCATCTGTGAAAAAGAGCAGGGGGTCAGAGAGGGCCTCTGAGTCTCCTTCCAGCCCAGCTTTCTGAGTCTGTGATGTGCTTGACAGCAGAGGGGACCGACCCGTGGGGTGGGGAGCAGTGTCTTCCTAAGGAGGGTGCTGGGCTTGCCCTCCTCACAAGCTCGTACAGGCGCCCTTGTCTGGGTCTAAGCCTGGAGCTGATTACGAATGCTTGGCATGCTTGTCTCTCTCTCTGCTCCCTCTCCCATGGCAGACATCCTTAATCTATCAGGGCCTTTCTTGCTGGCCCTGGAAGTGGGCCTCAGGCGCCTTCTCACTCCACTGCTCCAAGCGGCCACCTCCCCTTGGTCTGTCACAACATGAGAGAGACCCTCTTTCCCAGCAGAGTGGCAGAGTATAGTGGTGAGAGTGCAGGCCCTGCGGACAGACAAGTGTGCTTCTCAAGTCACGTCTGCCACTATTAGTTGTGTCACCTTGATGGAGTCACACTCTCGAGGCTCAGCTTCCTCATCTGTGAAATGAGGGTGATGCTATTTTGTGGGACCGTGAGGATTAAACGAGATGAAGCGAGGAGAGTGGCTGGCTGCAGTGAAATGAATGAGTGACCTGCGTTCTGCCCAAGCGCTTTCGAGGTGGGAAGTCCCATTTGAACCCTGTGACAGTCCCGCAAAGGCACCATCGCCTCTGTGAGCAAGCAGCAGTTCAGAGAGGGGAAGCCGCTTGCCTGGAGCTGACCCAGGACCGCCTGGCCGCAGGGGAGCTCCGTCTCTATCTGGGTTTAGTTGTAAGAGAGCCATGGTCTGGTCTTAGCCTCAACATCTACTGGGCTCCCTTGGGCAAGTCAGTAGCCTTTCTGGCCATCAGTTTTCCCATCTGTAAAATGGGGATTAGAGTTCCCTCCTTGCAAACTTATTGCAAATTTATGGCGAGGGCTCAGCAAGCTGGTGGATTGGCAGGTGCTTTTTTGACCTCAAAGGCAGGCAGCTGTGACCTGGGAGGCAAGAAAGGGGCCTTGTTGAGTGACAGGCTTGTGTCCCCAAAGCCCGCAGTACCTTTCTCTCCCTTAGTCCCCGGGGTCCCGGGTTTGCCGTCAGTGCCCGGTGACCCAGGGATGCCGGGAATTCCAGGAATGCCCTGGGACGCGGGGCAGCTGCTCTGGGCCCGGGAGACGTCGAGTGGACCCAGGAGCAGCAGTGGCAGCAGCGCCAGGATGCCGCCCATGGTCAGGGTCTTCATCGCCGCACCGTCTCAGCTGCTTCCTGTGGGGGGACAAGCAGGTGGGCTGGGTTACTCCTATGGGGACTCCTCACGCTTGTTCATTCCTTCCTCAGTTCATGTGGCGGCTGAGTGTGTCTCAGCCACAGAGCCTGCATGGCCCCTGCCTTCTGAGGCTGGCAGTTCAGGGGGAGACAGACGATGAACAGGCCAACCCACAAGTAAATAGGAAGCGTTAGAGACCGTGACGGGTGCTCCAACAGGATGCAAGGGGGCCTGGGGGGAGAGTCGTGGGCTGGGGCAGGAGGGGGCTGGTTTTGTGAGGGAAGTCCTCCCGCCAGGAAAGTTTGCTGGCTGGGGACGGTGTCTCTGAGATGTGAGGGTTAGGCTGAGAACTGAAGGTTCAGAAAGGGCTGGGGCAAGAATGTTCCGGGAGAAACGGACAGCAGGGGCAAAGGCCCAGTGGTAGAACAGGGCCTGGAGTGTGGAGGACCAGCAGCGAGGCCAGTGTGGCCAGAGGGGGCAAAGAGACAGGAGGTCAGGGCCTTGATGGCCGTGGTGGCGGGTTTTGGGTTTTACTGCAGGTGTTCTCATTCATTAGGGCTTCAGAAGTCAGGGTGCCTCGGCTGCCTCCACAGCGGGCCACTGTACATCCGCAGGGCAGCCCTGCATGGAGGAAGCTATTGTTTCTACACCGAAGAGGAGACTGAGGCTCAGAGAGGCCCAGCCACTTTCTCAGGGTCACACAGGAAGGACTGCAGCCAGGACTCGAACCCAGGCCTGTCTGGCACTGAAGCCAGTGTCCCTGCCAAGCACACCAGGCCATCTCTTCTGGCGGAATATTCTCAGGTCCCTCCAAAGGCTGTGGGCCTGGTGAGAGGGCAGTGCTGGCCCCTTCTTAATCCCAGAGGACCAGGAAGAAGCCCTGGGCTGTCTTGACCTGGTCAGCAGGGCCAGTGCCCCATGGCACTAATTCTCAGGACAGAAGGGACCTTAAAATTCATTTAGTCCAAACTTAGCCTATTTTTTTCTTTAATCAAGGTGACATTCACGTAACATAAATTTAACCATTTTAAAGCAACATCTCGTGGCATTTAGCACGTTCATAATGCTGTGCAACCACCACTTCTGTCTGGTTCCAAAACATTTTCGTCATCCCAAACTAAAGCTCTGTGCTCACTAAGCAGTTACACCTCAGTCCCACTTCCCTCCTCGGCCCGCGGCAACCGCTAACCTGCCTTCTGACTCTACGGATTTTCCTGTTCTGGACCTTTCGTGTAAATGGAGTCACAATACGTGGCCTTTTGTGTCTGGCTTCCTTCATCTAGCATCGTGCTTCTGAGGTCCGTCTACGTTGTAGCACGTGTCAGCACTTCATCCCTTTTTATGGCTGAGTAATATTCCACCGTAGGGACACTTTCCGGTCTGTGTCTCCATTCATTGTGGATGGGCTTTTGGAAGTCTCCGTTTTTGGCTCTTGTGAGTAGCGCTGCTGTGAGCATTCCTGTCCGAGGATTCGTCTGAATCCCTGTGTTGGATTCTTTTGGCTATGTACCTCGGGATGGAATTGCTGGGTCTTAAGGTCATTCTGTGTTGAACTTTTTGAGGAACCCTCAGTCTACTGTTAAGCCTCCTCAATAATATCTCTGCCGAGGGTTCTTCCATCCGTGGCTTGCACCATCTCGGTGATGGGCAGCTCATTACCTACCGAGGCAGCCCCCTCCACCTTTGCCCAGATCCAAATTCTCCCCATCCTTCAAGGCTCAGGTCAAAGGCTTTCTCCTCCAGGAAGCCTTCCCCCATAGCCCCTCAGCCCACAGAGGCTGAGCTGTTTCCTGCTTTTAAAATGGGAGAGCAGAGTGGTCCCTGCCCGTCTCCCAGGGGAGCTGAGGATCCAGGGGAGGCCACGGCTAGGAAAGAATTGTGCAGTTCAAGCTCTTGTTCAGCCTCGTTGCTGCTGCTGTCTGATCCTCACAGCACTCTTGATGATGGGGAAACTGAGGCTCAAGCATTAGAAAGCAACCTGCCCAAAGTCCCCCAGCAAGTTGGTTAACGGCACAACCGTGGCCAAACCCCTCTCTCTGCCTCGTGCCGGCTGAGCCGACCTGGAATGTGGCAGTGGACGCCTTCCTGCACCCAGAGAACCTGCTGATTATGGGCTCGTGAGCTCAGGAAGTCGGCCTCAGCCCCTCAGTCTAGTCCTGACCATTCATTGCCCAGACCCCTGAGTTACGCCAGAGCCCGTGCTGGGAGCCAAGGAAGGCAGGCTGCAAAAGCGGGTGGGGCCAGGGCTTCGAGTGACCGGCTCAGGCTCTGTCGTGCTCCGTAGAGAGGGCGGCTCAGGGAGATGATCCTGCTTCCCTTTGAGGAAGCACCAGTTCCCACTCTTGCTGGAGGTTTTACGAAATGACAATTTGACAACTTTCATAATCCGTGCATTGGGCACTTTGCAGGTGCCAGGCTCTGTGCCAAACGCTTTCATGCCGTTATCTTATTTACTTAGGTGCTTACAACAGCTCCCTGAGAGAGCACCCCGCTTTGTCATTTTATAGGAAGGAAACTGGGCATGAGAGAGGGCGAGGGCCTCAATCACGGTCACACAGCCCCCATGCGGCTTGGATTCAAACCCCGTCCCACTGGATCTGGAAATTCACGGGGTGTGGCATGGAGGCCCCTCCACCTGGTGGTTAAAACAGGGGCTTTGGAGCCAGACAGCCTGCGAGGAGCTCCCGCACAGGCTGCGCGTAGAGCAGGGCCGGCGCTCCCTGAGCCTGTTTCCTTCCTGTTCCGGCTCCTGTTTTAGGCAGCAGCCCCCGGTGCTGAGCGGCCCGGAGGGTCATGAGGAAACAACGCTGCCAGGGTCCCGATCAGGCCTCTGCCACTTCTTAGCTAAGGCCTTGGGCAAGTCACTTCTCCTCTCTTGGCTAGTGTCCCCCTCTATAAAATGGGGATAAGGCGAATCTCTAGCTCACACAGTTCCAGGAGGATGGATGAGTTAGGGCTTACGACAGAGCCTGGCACGTCGGAAGTGTTTGATGGGTGTGAGCTGTTTTTTTATTATCACCATCATCCAAGAATCTCCAAGTTTCGGGACCTGACGGGAGATGGTTGGAAAAGTGGAAAGGATCCGGTCCTTTGTGAGATTGGGCTCAGGGAGACGGAGTCTGAGGCAGGGCAGCCCAGGGGTGGTGCGCTCTAACCAGCTCCAGGGCCTTCTTGGGGAAGCGGGAGGTGGGGGGAGCGGGGGGAGCTGGGGGGAGATAGGGGGAGCGGGAAGGTCTGGATTCTGGCCCATTTCAGGGGCCACCAAGTCTGAGACTTGGGCGAGGACTCAACCTCATCAGGTCTGACAGCCCTATGCCTTCACCCTCCATCACCCTGTCCGCCTTGCTCCTCACGTTTTTCTCCACATTACTGACCCATCCATCCCCTTCCAGCCCCAGCAGTGCCTTTTCCCCTGACTTAGATTCAGGCCAACTTGACCTTGAACTCCCCCTCTGCTGCCACCTTGCTGCGTGACCTCAGGTAAGTGTCTTAACTTCTCTGAGCCTCTTTGGCAAGTTGATTTCTACCTGTCAGGGCTGCCAGAAGAGTAAATGAGATAGAGCCTAAAAGGAATGAGGTCCCTAGTGCATGCCTGATCCCACCTCTCCTTTGCAAACATTATCGAGTTCCCTCAGGACCAATAACTAGTTACAACTCCACCCGCAAGTCAAATTATTTTCTTGAAAGAGTCAAGCTGCGCTTTCTCAGCAGACTGCGAGGAAATAAGAGAAGGCAGGTGTCGGAGAAGTGCCAGGTGGCGGGGCCTGGGTTCTAACTTCACCTCTGCCTCTGGCATTTCTTGCATCAGGCAGTGTGCTGAGCCCTGGCTGAGCCCGATGTCCTTGAGGGCTCGCGGCAGCCCTGAAAGGTTCCGTTATCCCCAAAGAAAGTCTAGGTTCAGAGAGGTTACGTGACTTGCCCCAGATCACCAGCACCTAAGAGACAAAAGCAGGACTCAGCTTCAGTCTCAATGACCCCAAAGCCCTTACGCTGGTGGCTCACGTTTTAGGCTGCCTCCCCATCCCCTGGGGCCCCGGGTGACAGCAGACCCACAAGCTCCCCCAGAGGGAGTCTGACTCCCAGGGTCTGGGCCCAGGAACCCTCGCTGTTAAAGCCCCAGGGGGCTCTGAGGCAGCGGCTGCAAAGCCTGCACTTTGGGAAGCACCGCCCTCCGCCTTGTTGGTCCTGCAGCCAGCCCCCCCGCACCGAGCCCACCTTCACCTGGGAGCCGGTGTCCTGGGATGCCGCGGGCCGGGCAGCAGTGCGACCTGGAGCCAGAGCCTGCTGCTCTCCGTCCAAAGCGGAAGTCCCATTCCCCAGAGGCAGGAGGGGCCTTCCCCTGGCGGCCCCCTTCCAGGCCCAGCCGGCTGGCCCCCCTCCCTGTCACCCAACTCTCACCCCCCGCCCCCCCGCTGCCCTCAGACAGTTTCAGGTCCCGTTTCTGCAATCTGGAGGGGTTTACTGTAAAGAGGGTGGGTGGGCATGAGTTGGGTTTCGCTGGCTCAGCAGCTGTGGGGAGAACAGGCTGTCCTGGGAGGTGTCCACAGCCGGGGGCGAACTGCCAAGGGCCCGCCCTCGTGATTTTCCACAGAGGGCAGGGGTGTCCCTCAACGAAATGAGAACGTGGCCTGCCTGGTGCCTCAGGGCCGGACTTGGGGTCGGATCTGTATTCGGGCTCTGCCACTTTTCAGCCAAGGCAGCTGAGGAAGCCCCAGTGGCCCCTGCTTTATGACGGGACGCTCACTGCACCTGCTCTGCAGGTGGTACAGGGCACCTGGGGCTCGGCTGGGACAGCGGAGGAGAAGGAGGAGGGAAACCTGTGAAGTGCGGTGCACACGTCAATTGTTCACATCCTGCCACATCCCAGGCTTCCCCTTTCTGGGCTCGTCTCTTCTGCTTTCTTCTCATTTTGGCACCCCTGCTCTTTGCCTGCTCTCGGAAAATAATCTAATCATGAAAAATGCGTTTAAATGTGGTCATTATTTATTTATGCCCCTTCCTCTGCTCCCAGCAGGGCCTGAAGCTGATGGCGATAATAGGCACCGGCAGGACCCGTTGCTCGTTGATCCTGGAGTCGCACCAAGTCAGGGCTTAGAGGTCTACGGCCCCACTCTGCTCACTTTACATATGGGGAAACTGAGGCCAAGAGGGGAGCGAGTCAAGTCTCTGTGCGCTGGGGCCTGGAGAGAGCCGCAGCGAGTCAGCCGTGCTTCGGCGCAGGGAGCGGCCCTTCCACCGGGGAGGCTGGCGTTAATGACACGCGGTTTCGCAGCTTCTGTGATAAACGGCACAATGGAGTGGCTGCTGGAGCCCACAGCTCCCGCAAGAGGCCGATGCAGGATTCGGACCAGGCCCCGGCCCCCTGGCAGAGGCTGCGGCCGAGACCCCGGGACCCCCTCTCAGGAGTCATGGGCAGGCGCCGGGAGCAGCCGTGGGTCAGGAAAACCCTCTGACCTCTGTGCTTGGAGATGGAAAAGCGTTGGGCGTGCAGATGCTGCCTGATGGGAATGAGGTGTTGCCTGCAGCGGGGAAGGGGAGGAAGGGGCGAGCTTGACAAAACCAAAGGGTCTCTGGGCTCAGCCGACTGTAGACCCAAGGGACCCAGGCCGGGGGAGGAGAAGGCAAGGCTCTGAGAAGGTCCAGGGGTCCGTCTGAGGGTCCCTGAGGCCGTGTGGACCCGGGCCTCTCATTCCTCGGTGGCCATGGCAATGGGACAGATGGGCTTGACCTCAGGGTGGGAGCAGTGCGAGGTTGAGAACAGGAAGCACGGAGAGGGGGTGAGACCACTGGCTTAGGAATCAGCCCCATCCTGAGTTTGAAGCCCAGCTCTGCCTCTCTCGAGCTATGTGGCCTCAGGCATGTGTACTGACCTCAGTGTCCTCGTACATGAATTGGGGGCTTGGGCACCCCCCTCCTGGGGTTGTCGTGGGGCTGGTGAGGGAGCCCTGCACGTCCAGGGAGGGCCTGGCTAAGTGCCGGCTCTCGGTGGGCGCCCAACACAAGCCTGGGAACAGTATTATTTCTAAGAAGAGGGGACAGGATCCTTGGCCTGGATTAGGATCAGGAGTGGGGGGTCTCTGGGTCTTGGTCCATGAATGGGAGCCAGCTGGTCTCTGCACCATGAGATTGCTGACTTGCATCCCTGACAGAGAGGGGACGACACTACAAACAGTAGAAAAGAGACACAGAACCCTCCACAGCCCGCGGTCTGAGAGAGTCCTTGCAGCTTGCGGGGTCCCATTCTGGTTCCCGTTCCACACCCCTCCCCTTCTTGCCTACCCCCCTTAAAAACCCTTGCCCGGCTCCCCTCAGCCCAGAGACAAGCTGGCATTTTCAAAGGCCCGTCTCTCCTGACGAAGAGAGAACAACAAGGAAACAATTATGGAAAATAAACATGGTATAAAAATTGTCGTTTCCGAAGCACAGGTTTCTGAGCTGACCCTGCGGCCGACATAAGTGGGCTATTGATTTTTAAACAACGGAGAAATGGGAAGAAGCATGTAGCACTTGGGGCATCGCCCGGAACACGGCAGAGTGTCGATGGAGGGAGAGCTGTGAGCGGACTGGCCCCGTGACCCTGGCCCCGGCCCTGCCAGGGGCCCGAGAGCCATGCCCTTGCTCTGTTCTCGCCCTTGGTGAGTGTGCGTGAGTGTGAGTGTGAGTGTCTTTCTCTCTCCCTCCCTCCCTTCTGACACATGCCCTTGCTATGAGACAAGCATCAAAGCGGCCCCACCCTCAAGGATGCTCAGAGGCCTGTGGGGGAGGCAGACCTATAAGGAAATAAGTGCTCCAAAGGCGGTTGGTGGACTACGTACATTGGATTTACCAGGCCAACCGCCCACTCACCTCCTGTGCCGTCCTCCCCAAACCTTCATGAGACAGCCTTGGGTCCAGAACTCTGTCTTTTGTTTTGTAAATAGATGTGCAGAGAACTTTGTTGTACCACCAGATTTGGGAACCTGGGCTCTAAAGGGTCACGAGTTTATGGTCCAAGTCTGTGGAGGGCTCTGTGGGGACACAAAGGGGAGAACCAGGGAAGGATTCATGGAGGAGGCGATCTTTGTGTTGAATCCTGACAGTTGAGTGTGTATCTGGGTGGATGGAGGATTTGTGGGAGTGGGAAAGGGGGGTCCACAGGATGAAGGAACCTCACGGGCAGAGCTGCTCTGACAGCCCGCCCACCTTGGTTGGCTGGTGCCTCTGTGAGCTCCGTGGGGCCTTGTGGAACCAAAGTGAGACCCCAGCCAGGCCAGGGCAGCTTCTCCCAGGCCTGAGGGAGCCTGGGGTCTCACTGGGCCCCGTGGTGGGACCTGCCGTCTGCACAGGAAAGTTACACTTTTTATCTTTTTGAACCTGAACCGTCAATCGCTTCTCGTGGCTGTCACAGCAAAAGTGCTGCAGCTCCTAGCGAGCCTCCTGGTCCCCCAGCAAGGATCGGGGCAGCCGGGCCAAACTGTCAGGCCCCTCACAGTGAAACCCTGACAGCAGGGAGGTGGCGGGTGTCAGATGGTGAATCAGGCATCCAGGAGACAGACTCTCTCGTCCAGTCCTGCCCATCCCCGAGCGTGGCTGTAAGTATTAAAGGACTTGAGAGACGGGCCGGCACAATGCCTGGTGCATAGTAAGTGCTCAATGAGTGGTAGCTATTATGATTTTCTTTATTCACTCATTCCTTTATTCTGCTTTTAGTCATTCATTTACTCCCTGATTCTTTCATGCATTCACCCTAGTTCGCTCATTAATTTGACACAAATCCTTGGCGCATCTGGTCTGTATCTACCCTGGGCACACCTGAGCCCAAACCTCTCCCGTGACAGGCGCTCCTGAAATTCAACATAGCTCAACACGGGTCTGGGAATTCAAATGCACTCCCGTCTACCTGTGGGCATGGGTCCCTGTACTGGTGGCAGTGCCCCTTTCACACCAGTGACGGCAGATGACCCCTCGGCACCCTCTCGCAGCCTTCAGCCACACTTGAGCATCTCTCTCCCAAACAGCCAAGTGGTGCTGGGTGTCTCCACATTGCACCCACCCTGACTGAGCCCCAGGTAGGTGCCCCGTCTGGGTTTGGAGCCCACCGACACCTGCGGCAGGTGCGAAGCCGATGAAGACACCTGCTTCTTCAAGGAGCTGGCAGCGAGGAATCTGAGCATGTGGATTTATTGATTTAATTATTTATTTCTATATCTCCCCGCCTCTTCCAAGACTCGGAAAAGACTAATGACAGTACCAGAAGGTATTGGTTAAGTGTCAAAGCAGTGCCTCCTGAAGGAGCTCAGAGGAGGGAGAGAATTCGTGGGGCAAGTGGAGTCAAGGCGGGCTTCCCGGAGGAGGAGTCCATCAGGTGGGGAGAATGCCTTGAGCAAGGACGCAGAGGCTGGCTGGTGTGGCCGGCAGGTGGGTTCATGCAGGGAAAATGAGGGAGCTGGGGCAGCCCGGGGGCCGGCGTAGGCCCTAGTCGGGGAAGAGCAGGAAGCCGGAGAAGACGCTGTCGGAGCCCCTGGTGCCCACCATGCCGTTGTAGTCGTTGACCGCCAGCCACACCTCCTCGCCCACCTGCAGCTGCAGCAGCACGCCGCCTGAGCTGACCTGCTTGCTGTTGGACATGTGGTCGCAGAAGGCGGTCACCTTGGCGCCGTTGCGGTACAGCTGCACGCACAGGTTGGCTGTCTGCGACGTGTGGTGGGCAAAGTAGTAGATGCCAGGGACCCTGCAGGTGAACTTGCCCGTGCTCGTGTCATAATGCCCCTGCGGGTTGGTGACGACCGTGTTGAACTTCACCAGGCTGTTGGCGGCCGGGTACTGGTCTGTCTGCCGTGTGACCGTGAACACCGACTGGTGCTTCTGCTTGTATCTGCCCTCCTCGCCCGGCTCCCCACGGGGGCCCACGAGGCCGGGAAGGCCTGCCATCCCAGAGGTTCCCATGGGGCCGTTTTTCCCAGGGTGGCCAGGTGTGCCGGGTTCTCCCTTCTGACCCTTGGGTCCTTGAGTCCCAGGGACAGCTGGGATCCCTGGGGAGAGAGCAGGTGAGAGGGAAGTGATGGGCAGGCCCAGGGGAGAGGGGGCCTGAGGCTGTCCTCGTGGGGACACACCATGGGGGTCTGGTCTCTGGAACTTCCTTCCCCACGTGGCCTGTCCACCTGGAGCAGTGCGCAGGGAAGAGGGGACAGAGACCCTGGCTCAGGTCCCGCCTCCCCATGCACTTGCCCTCTGACCTTGGCCAAGGCACCTCTCTGTCTCTCGGCCTCAGTTTCCACATTCATGATGGAGAGGGTAGGACCAGCCGGCTCAGGAGGTGTCAGACCTGGGCGGGATCTCAGACAGCGTGTCAGAGACCATGACTGTCAGCCCACAGACA